TTCAATGATATATATCCACATATGTTAAAAAGATTAAATAATTACATGGGGTATACTTTCTTTGTCATATTATTGTATTTATATGTGGAAAACCACAGAAATGTTCAGAATGAGTTTCCTCAAAACACTCTGAAAGAAATAGTTATATTGGTGGTGTGCAGACCTTCAACATAACTTACTGGGCTATTATTCTACAGAATTAACACAGCCAATTGAACCTCTTTGTTCAAGCATCACTTGAAGTTCATTTAGCTTCCTGTGTTTTTTAGGAAATAGAGAGATTGGGAATCTCTTACTGCTACTCTAGCAGTGGTTAAGGCTCCAGGCCAGAAAGCAGTCAGTTTCAACTCCTGTCAAAGCCATGAAAGCTGGCTGGATGACCTTGGGTCAGTCACTCTCTCTCCATCCAACTCACCTCACAGGGTTGCTGTTGTGAGGATAATAGGAGGAGGAAGGTGCGTTGGATAGGTTTTGTCAACTTGAGTTATTTGTAAAAATAATAAAGGCAGGATACAAATAAATAAAAATACTACTTTTGGACTAGGACTCAAAAATATCTTTCCAGTTTTGTGCCACCACATGCACAATATGTCACCATTCCCTAAGTTTGTATACTTATTTATTCATCATGTTTTATAATACAATTTTTATTCTCTTTTATTATCTGTACTTTTATTTATCTTTAGATTTTATTATACTCATTTTTCTGTATATATGTGCACATACGTGTGTGTGTGTATACTCAATTTACAACAATTCGTTTAATGACCAAAGTTACAACGGCACTGAAAAAAGTGATTTATGACAATTTTTCACACTTACAACCATTGTAGCATCCCCATAGTCATGTGATCAAAATTCAGATGCTTGGCAACTGACTCATATTTATGACAGTTGAAGTGTCCCAGGGTCATGTGATGAATTTTTGTGACCTTCTGACAAACAAATCAATGGGGGACCCAGATTTACCTAACAACTATGTTACTACCATAACAACTGCAGTGATTTACTTAACAACTGTGGCAGAAAGGATGTACTGTAATATGGGGCAAAAATTCACTTAACTGTCTCACTTAGCAACATTCATTTTGGGCTCAATTGTGGCCATAAGTTGAGGACTACATGTGTGTGTGTGTGTGTGTGTGTGTGTGTGTGTGTGTGTGTGTGTGTGTAGAGAGAGAGAAAGAGAGAAATAAATAAATAGATATATGTTACAGTTCTATTATTGCATATTTTACTTTATCTGGCTTTATAGCTGTAATAAATGATTTGATCTGATCTGATCTGATCTGATCTGATCTTAATCTTTGAAAATAGTGATGCAACAAAGTTACCATAACAATTTATTATTATGGTAGAGAAAAGATATCCTATACTTGAAAAGTCCTCTACCTTGCTCTGGTAAGAAGGTTGAAGATTTTAACCTTGATTAAGTAGAAAGCAGCTAATGTCCAATTTCAGATTACAGGTGAAGAGAGTGCCAACAAAAATTTAACGGAAAAAGAGAAAGAAAACATATAGCATTGCTGAAAATTGTCTATGGTAGATATCCCCACCATAGATATGAGGTCTTCACATTCCAATCCAAGAAAAGCATTTGAGAAAATCAGATATAATGGTATAAATGATGGCTATTAAGAAAAATTTCAAAAAAATTGGTAAGAGTTGGGAAGCTATAGTAACTTCCAAAACACTCCCCGCAAGAATGAAAAGAATAAATACTTGCCTCTTAAGCATTATTAAGGTTGAGATCACGAAGAACATTAATATCTACCTGGAGCTAACTTGAGCTCAGTCAGCACTGGTTCTGTTAGCATTTAGAAAAATTGCCATGAGTTGGCTATTTAAAAAGCCTTTGGATATGATAAGTGATTTCCTCTCTGAACTATGGGATTGCTATGCTTTCAAGAGTGACATTCCTCAGTACAGTGGAGGTAAGACCTGTTATTATTATTGCGGGATTTTTATTGCATTATTATTATATACTGTTTTAATCCTTCCATTGTATGTACCTAAAAAACCCAAATAAATAAATAAACAAACACCTTCAGATATCTCACAAGCAGAAAATCTCTTCTTCTAACTCTAGCAACACAAGCCTCCTGAATCAACTTGCAAATACATATTATAAATCCACAGCAAAATGGAATAATAGAATTAATATTGCGCAAAAGGCCAAAACCTCTACTTTAATAAACTTCTTCCAGCAAAAGTATGTCAAGAAAAGGCAAGCAGTGCAGCTCAGCTAAAAATTCATTTGCAGTCCAGTGAGCGTTAAAATCCTTATCCATCTTATCAGAGCAAAGAAGAGCAATCAAGTATGAGATTCTCTGCTCTCCGCAATTTGGAAAAAAAAAATCAGAATGTTGTTTACAGCTTTAGGAACCAAAATGAATTGGATGAAATAATTTGACAATTTTGGCCCCAATAAACAGGTCACTGCAGAAGATAAGATTTTAAGAACATAAGCATAAACTTTTTTAAAAAATAAAAACTTTGACTCAATAGAGGAAACCGGTTAAAAATAATATTTACAAGTCTCATATTGCATTCTGTGGGTCCTTCTCCCTTGACTTATGTTTAATTTATGATCAAAACTATCTTGCAAGCAGGATAAATGAATAAGTATCATGGTTCTATTAATATTAATATTCCAATCAAAGGAACAGATTAATAATTTTTGATCTGGCGGTCACATATAGAGTCCTTGAATGAGTCATGTTAAGGACAAGAGTACGGAAGCTTCTCTTTGGCTTCTATACTGTTTGCAACCATGCAGATGGGTGAGATAAAAGGCCGCTGCTGGAATGTGCTTGTATAGGAAAGTATGGGATGACTCTTTTATAATATTAAAAGGTTGCAATAAATATTTTCAGATGCTAGGGACTTTCAGATAAGTCTGGGTAAATTCACACTATCTGCTGGATCCTTCTATTTTTAGAGACATCTATTCTGCTCATTTTGAGAGAGGGAGAGAACACAACATTTATTTGCTTCATTTTTTTCATCCACAGTTAATGAACATTTTAATGTAATCCCTATGCTGCCAATTATTTCGCATCTGGAGGCCAGAAGAAGATATAATTTCAACAAAAGCAATTTGGTTTTTATTTTCCCCATGCTGTATCTTAGTTAACAAATGTAATGTCATAGCCAGAAAAATGAAACTTTTAAAACATAATTTTGAAGCCACAATATCACCTAAATGTGACTCGGTACATCTACAAAACATTCTCATAAGAATGCAGTAATCATCTTGCTAAAATTCAGAAACATTACAGGGTGTTTGGTGAAGATTCCAAATGAAGATTCCAAAATCTCAGATCTAGACAGAATGTCAAAGCCATAGAGCGCCACTACATAAGATATAGCATGCAAACTATGACAAGATGGACGATCAGTCTGAATTAATATAAGATCGTTTCCTATTCTTGCCAGACCTAAAATGGAATTTATTTATTTATTTATTTATTTATTTATTATTCAAATTTCTATACCGCCCTTCTCCTTTCGGACTCAGGGCGGTGAACAGCCAAGATAAAAACATCTATACATAACATCACAGTTAAAAATAAAGTTAAAATAATTTATAAATTTGGCCCATAATTTAAAACTTGTCAATTAAAATCAATATTCTTCAAAATATTTGTTTTATTAATTTATTTACTAGAGATATATTTCTGAATTCAACTGAATTTATTCAATTGAATCACTGAGCAAGCGTTTAGATCATTCTAATTTCAACTACAATAGTGAGATCATTTGCTGGATTTCTATCACTGTGGAAAACTCTGTGGATCAATGTCAAACTCAATACTCTTGATTCCAGATGTACAAGTTCTTGAAAAATTCCCTTCTCTGCTAAAAAACATAGTGATGGATGAAATAAATTCAAACCAGAGAGCTTGGAAAGCAGCTGTCAGTACTGAATTGATATATGTTTATAGAAAGAATTTGCTGTCTTAATATAATAAAAACAATTTTACATGTTGGTGCAATTACAGGATGGTCTTGGTTTGGGAGCATTAACTCAAAAACTAGACATTTTACAGTTTTAAGGTAAAGGAGAGGAGAGTTCCATAAAACTGAAACTGGAAGGTGTTCTTTTTCTTTCCGATAAAGCACGTTTGCATATTCTTAGAAGTGTGGTTATGCTTCTTCAAATAGCTATGCTATATAGGACGGATGTCAAACTCGCAACGTCACATTGCCTTCAAGTGACATATCGCTACGCGGAGCTGGGGTGAGCATGGACTGCGCATGACGCATCCAGCCTGCGGGCCGCCAGTTTGACACCCCTGCATATAGCTTTGAAGCAGCACCAAAGGTATGCAAAAATATAACTCCACTACCATGTAGTGGTAAACTGGATTTTTGCAGCCCAGATATCATATGCTTATCTATAGAAGACTCCTTCATAGAGAATATAGTAAAAGGCGTAATGAATTCAGACTTGATCCATTGAGAGAGTGTCAACCCTGAGTCCAAATCAAACAGAGAATTCAAAACTTTAAGAAGCTCTAGGATCCAGATCCAATAAGTCAGTATATAAATAAAGAACAGGCTTTTTCAGAACTGGAAAGAGTATTTCTAAAGGGAATACCAATAGCAGCTTGATCATGGTAGACTTGCTTTGATTAGCTTTACAGTAATTTATGACCAACTACTGTTGGGAAAAGAGATTAGGTTAACACATTGTGCTAAGCTGTTGTTTATTTTAATAACACTGTACTTCACTGAATAAATCATACAGTTCTGGTTCAGACATAATACTATAAGATGTGGTTTACAAATCGTAACCAAACAAATACCACTCTGGCTTAGCACATTGTTTCCAAAGTGCAAATTATGACCTTCAATGGAATCACTTAGAGGACAGAAGGCCTACCAGTTTGATGCAAATATATGGTAAATGCGAAGCAAGGAAACTGCTTCAGGCCCTTTATGAAGCCCGAATGTTTTTTCATGTTTTTTCAATGCTTTGCTTTTGTCTTTTTAAGGGACAGCAATTATACCTGGAGAGCATGAGGCTTCAGTAAAAACTCTGACCATCTGACCTGATCCTTAGCCTGAAGAGGAAATTACAATGGAGAGGATACTGCCCATTATGCTGCAGGGAGGAGGAAATTATAAAAGGGGACCAGCAGTTTACAAGCACAGATCAGCGAGCTAGAAGTGACAGAGGAGAAAATGGACTGAGGCTGTTATCTCTGGGCAGGATCAACTGGGAGAAAAGAGCAAAAGCGACTTGAAGCTTGCAAGGGATCAACATTTGAAGAAAAGGTATGCAGAAAGAGAAGGTAATGCAGGAAAATACTTTTTGCTCTTCCTTCTCTGGATCTTGGTGAATGAGCTTTGATAGCTGTCTTAATGAAACCCAGATTTCAGGAACTACGCATAAGTAAACATTAAACAGCTTGTCCCCAATAAAAATATATTGGGGCTATGTTTGTTTTCAATAAAAGAATGTTACAAGTTATATGGCTCTATCATTGTTTTATTTAATATGTACATTAAAATTTAAGTATTAAAAGCACCATATATTGTATATGTATTTCTTGCACAAACCTAACTCCAAAAAATGTTTATTTGGAGAGAAATAATTGCATAAATCCATGCATCATTTAAGGAAGTCACAGGTCAGTGACTGAATCCAGACAGCATCTGGTTCTAAGCTCCTATCTTAATCTTGTTACTGATAACCTAAATTGAACTGACATATGATGAATCTAAATTTATCTGTTTGTCAAGGAAGACCTTAGCTTTTAGTATGAAATGGTGCCTCCTAAAGGTTTGGGTAAATTGATTCTACACTGACATGACTGAATTCAGATTTTGCTTCCCCTCAAAAGTCTGTCCCATATAACCCATTTATATAGTGGCACAATTGGGGAAATTAGATTGTATTTTACAATTTCACCAAGGATCATTAAGAAAGTAGGTTTAGCTCCTGAATCAGTTCTGATTTGCTGGCTAAACCCAGGATATCAAGTATAAAAGCATTTTTATGTTTGGGCATAGCAGCAGACAATCTGCTCAAAGGGACTGGCTTTCCATAATCCCCCTTATTATTTGAAACTGAGGGTTGTGCTTGAGAAAAAGAAATTTCTGAGCAGAAAGCTGAGAGAAACTTCTTCAGTAATCTTTTGTGTAACAAGTGCGGAATGTGCACTGAAACCCACCAAGTTATTGAAGCAGATAAAATTTAATTTCTTTGGCTAGATTGTTTATAGTGATTTTAGCTGGAATTTCTTTGTATGTTTATTTCCCTATTGTTTTTCCCTGAATTTTTCTTTTCCCAACAAATCCCATTTTAGAGTTGTGGTTTCATTGGTTTAATAAGTAAGTCTCCTATTAAAACTACACGAGACTGCATGGCTGCACCTTGCATTTAAGGACTCGTACATGGTTTGTTAAGTTATATATTTTTGGGCTTTCGGGTCAAAGCATCTTTCTTTCTATTCTTTTAGGACTGTTAGGAAAGTCCTTGACAGGCTAAGAACTCCCTTGTTTCACCAACTAAGTGGTGCCAGAAAGTTCAGTCTGATATATATTGGCTTTTCATAAGTATTCATTTGTCAAAGCCCAAGAATCTATTACAAGAAGAAGTCCTCCAGTGATATTTAAATATAATTCCCTTCTCAATTTGTAATAATAGCAACCTGCTTGAACAATGTGCTGGACTTTAAACTATTTTCTGATTCTCTTGTATGCCAGTGACTTTCTGATATGTTAACTAGTTAGCCAGTCACCCAGGCCCTACAGCTGGGGTGAGAAACTATGACAACTTTATAACCTATGGACTTCAACTCCAAGAGCACGGTTGACTCAGGAATTCTGTGAGTTGAAGTCTACAGGTTGTAAAGTTGCCATTGTTATTCACCTCTGCCATAGATTGAAGACAAGCACAGCAACCATATTCCCAATTCTAAACCATCTTTCTTGGTGATTTACTCTACACTTTTAAGACAAATGAGGGGCTAACGGGTATGCCAGTTTCATTTATAAACACTCATCCACCTGAAGTTAATACTGGAAATTAAGTTATTTAGTTAACTTCGTCTCAGTATAGTTGGAAATCAGTTACATTTAATCTGATCAATGGAGACTTCTGCAAAATTCAGAAGCTTGCATATCTTGACCAAAGTTAAGATAAAGATTTAACTTCTTACTATTTCCTTTGCAATTCTATGAAAAGCTGTATAAAATTAACTTCATAGGCTTAACATTGCTAGTTTGCATTGCTTCCACTTGATAAGACACCTACCTGAATCGCAAACAGTTGCAATGTCCCCTGTTGTTTCACTAGCAGACACTGCCGTAACAGGACTTTTGTGCCCAGCAAGACTTTGCACATAGCAGAGCCTGTAACAATGATTTGATTGTTCAAAGAATAACTCTCATCATTAATAGCAGTTGTAACATTTTAAAGTAACGCTTTAAATCCTTATTTATATTGGAATATAATTGTTCTCTAGCATTTAGTGTAGTTTTGCCCCATCTCTAGTGTAGATGGGGCAAAATACACAGGTTAAGCAATCCTACTGTTAATTTTATAAAATGGAGCAAATCAACCTTCATTATAATTCAGAAACTGGGGATATTCGATACAGTAAGGAGTGTGATTTAAAAATGCATATACCTGTTCAAATCCCATATGATACAGGTTCCATCTTTGCTCACACTTATCATGATGCTATAGGGTTTGCAGACGAACAAGCTGGTGATCTCTGCAGTGTGTCCATATAGATGCATCTGAGACTCCATGTCGATTTCAGAAGGCTGCAAAGGAAAACAGACAACCATAAATTTAGCAGATGGCGGGAACAAAAGTAGTATATTACAAGTCAAACTTGAGTCTAAATTACCTGCTTCATTCATTATATTACTGATTAACAAGTGCCATTTTATAATTTTTTTCCCTTAAAGGAAGGTTTCCCCTGTCCAGTTGTTGTTCTGTCCCCATGCACACACACCAACAGACATTCAGGAGTTAAAGACCAAACCAGCCGGCAAAATCCTTTTCCTTATGATAACGGAACTTGACAACAACCTAGTGGCTGCCTGCCAAGAGTTTATTATTTACAAAGAGGAGAGATAACTTCTCCCCTCTTCTGATACATCAAAGGAAAGCAGCTCAATAATTACAATCAAGTCCAGAGATAATCCAGTCTTAAAGCAAAAGTTCGGCAATGCAGAATGGCGTGGAAGCTTTCAGCTTTGTTTGTCACAAGGTTTGACTGGCCACCACGCTCCCTTTTATATCCTGTGGGGTGTGGTCCAGTGACTCAGCCTAATCTCGGGCACGTCCTTTCTTCTGTTGTGCGCGCTTATCTCTGCAACACTGGCGTGGGTCCAGCCAAGACTCATTACCCTCATCACTGTCCATCTGTGGCTGCGTGGACGTGCTTGGCCCTGGCCCTATCTCTTGCCCTTCGGCAGACACCGAAGGCATTGCCAGAGAGGAGGGTCCTGGAGAGGGAGGCCTTGCCAACTCCTCCCCTTCACTCTCGGAGTCCTCTCCTGACGATGACACAGGCTCCGGTAACGGAGCCACAACAGTTGTGTCCAATTCTAGGGGCGGTACTCATTTCTGTTTCTTAGCTGAGGGAGCCAGCATTATCTGAATATGTTACCGTGAACATGTGGTCAGCATGATTATGTGCCAAGGTGCACAGAAGGCTGATACCTTCCCACCGAAGGGGTACCTATTTATCTACTTGCATTTGCATGTTTTTGAACTGCTAGGTTTGCAGGAGCTGGGCCAAGGAACAAGAGTTCACTCCGTCACGGGGTGCTTGGGTCCCGAACTGCCAGCCTTCCAGTTGATAAGCCCAATGTCGTAACCATTTTTATCCTATATACCTGTTTTTCTCAATTTCAGTTACAAAAACAGTAAGCCAAGACTGCTTATGTCTTAGTTCAAGCTTTTCTTTAAAACTGAATGCTTGATTGACAAACAATTGCTACTTTGGCATTAACTGTGAAAAGTAGCTCATTTAGATCTTTCACATAGCTATTAGCACAGAGGAAAGCTCTAAATAGCTGCCTATTTTACAGCACATATTGTTGCTAGAGTAATTCATGAGCGGATATATACAATATACTTTTATAGTTGTAACCAAATGGTGTGCAAAATCAGAAACTTTTAGCCCATGCTGTTTTTTTATTTCTGCTGTTTCCTCTCTTAAACGTGAGAGAGCTAATTAAGATGCAGGAATGTAATAAAATAAGCTGATAATGACTGAAAACAGAGGCGATAGACAATAGCTTTGATATGCCAGGTACAGCATTGCCTTGTTGGAATCCCAGAAGGAAGGCTGCTAGACTTCAACAATCCATTAATATACCAAATCCCAAGATTTATTACACTGCAAAATAATTTTGGGCGAATAATGCATATTCAAATTGTACACTGAAAATAGTGTTTCAGCATCTGACCTATCTTTTATAGATAAGAAGGCCACTGAGAGGTATTTAGACCATGTTCACGAGTTAGTGCATGTAACTGACATGCTTTTTCTTATTTATTGCTCTGTGCAAAATCGCATTGTTTCTTAATTAATATTCATTTTAGAAGAAAAACCTAAACAGACCTTAGCAAACATATTGTCATATCATATGGCCTCTTCTCATGCTACTAACTACACTATGTATCAGGGGTCCCCAACCCCAAGTCCATGGCCCAATACCAGACCACAGCCTGTTGGGAACCGGGCCCCACAAATGGCAGGCGAGCACGTGAGCACACGAAGCTGCATTTGCACAAGTGGCATATATGTGAAACCATCCCCTCTCCTCCCTTGCCATCCCCATCCTCACCGGTCCACAGAGCCAGAAAGGTTGGGGACCGCTGCTCTATATGTGTTGTGGTCTGCCAGCAGCCAGACAGTGAGGAGGCTGGGGAGGAACATGGGCCAGTCCTGGAGTCTGGGGAAGGCTCAGACGAGGGCTCTGCATCGGAGGCAGAGATGGGGCCAGGGCCATCTGGGAGTTATGTGCAGACTTCGGAGCTTCCAGAGTCGGACATCAGAGAGGCAGAGGAACAGGGGGAGCCTGTTCCTAGTGCACGCATGCCCAGAGCTGCCAGAAGGCAAGAACAGTTAAAACAAAAGGGATGACTCAGGAGTAAGGTTTGGAGGTGATTGGCCCCTCCCATAAGACATAAAGGAAGAGCACAGGCATGTGGGCCTTTGCAGGAAGCAACGTTGTGGATGGTGTCGGTTTGTACTTTGAAGCTCCGTTTTTGACTCTGTGTTTCCTTGTGGCCTTGCCAAGATAATTGCCAATTAGGTCTTTGGCAGCATGTCAAAGAAGATAAATGTGGGTGTTTATCAGCCTTATCCGAAGGACTGTGGCAGACCTCTGTTGGACTATTTATAAACTCTTGCTTCATTCAGCACTTGCTATGAATGAAAGGAATTCACAGCCGTTAAAATTAAAAAAAGGGGGTTTTGGGACTAATTGTGTGCTTTTTAC